CCTAGAGACATCTAGGTATGCACAGAACACAGGACAAAGGGATAGAGAGAGAATAAAACTTGCCTTAACCGTCTCTGAATTTTCCGATGAAATCTCCGACGACCGTTCCACCTCTGTTGCTCTTGGTTTTACCCACAAGCCAACCTCTACTCCTCCTCCTCCTTGGTTCAGCCCTAGCCTAAGGCAAAACCCTAGACTTTCTCCCTTTATCTCTCTCTGTAATTCTCCCTGTAACTCTTTGTTACTCTTTCTGTTTTTCTCTCTATCAACACTGTACGTATATAGGGTTCTCAACCCTTTTTGAAGACATACTACCGTATATATATATAGGCACTAATCAAAACCCTAAGCCTAATCTTAATCCACCATAGAAAACCTAATTGAGGCCCAGTTTAGTCGGCGTGAGATAGTAAGAGACTAAACCCTATTTTTCATTACAACTAGGAATATTCCATTAATCCAATTAATTCCATTCAAAAACCAATAAAACATTTACACAATTAAAACTATTTAATTTAATTAAAGAAAACAAACATACAAAGAAATAATCAGACAAGTCAATTAAATAACAATTTATCAATTAAATCAATTAAAAATACAAGTAAAGAAAACAATCTATTTAAATCCACAAATCAATTCAAACAACCTGTCATTCAAATGCCACACATAGCCACATAAGCACTTAAAAATAATAAAATAAATACTGAAAACAATAAAATAAATAATAAAATTTCGATTATATCCCTTTCAAAACTAGGGGTATTACAAATACCCCTAATTTTTAAAGAATTTTTTTTTAAAGGATTTATTTAATTTAATTTAATTGCTTTATTTGATTTGATTGGCTATTTGCGTTTATTTAATTATTATTGTGTTAATTAATTGTTTTATTGTTTATTTTTTTTTAATTGTTTAATTGATTACGTGGATTTAAATTATAAATTTGTTTGTGATGTAATCTATTTGCCATGTGTTTATTTATTGGTACTTTTGTTATTTAATTGTTTGTTTTATTTAAATTGTTTGTTATTTTATTTTTAATTTTTCAATGGGTTGGACTAAGTAAATGCACCAAATGTTTGGTCTTGGATTATGGAAGAGAATGCCTAGATAAGCTAATTATTAGGCTCAAAAGCCCATGGGTATGTGTGTGTGTGTGTACGTGTATATATATATTTGGGTGTTTTACATATTATACGTACATTGTAATATTATTATTATTATTCTATATTCTATATTTTATTTAGTTATGACTTGTATTATGATTAGGATTATATATATATATATATATATATATATATATATATATATATGTTAGTTACATTAAGAGTGTTTTTGGTATATGCAAACAAATAGAGCAATTGTGATGATTTCAGAGAGAGAATTGAACCAAGACCAAGGGAGGAAGAAGGAGGCTGTGCTCAGATAGAAATTGGATATAGGAGGAAGAACGACGGCAACCTAAAAGCTGCCAGAGTTGGAGAAGAATACCGGAAGCTTGTGGTTTGATTTTCAACCCGAAAATCCTAAGGTGAGTTCTATTCTATTTCTTCCCTCAAAACTTATAAGCTCTACACCTTTTTTGAGATTTTAGGGATTTAATCCAGATAATTTAATCAAGTTTATATGCTATTTGTGTTTTTGGTTTCGCTGTATGTGCATGTGTATATATATATATATATATACATGTTTTCTCTAAAATTGTGAATTTAATTTTGAAAACCCTAGTTTGATTGATTGTTATTATTTGATAAATTTGAACCTTGTTTATCCTTTGATTAACTGTAATTGAATAATTTAAATTGTTATATACGATTGTTGAGATAATAGTATTTTTTTGGTGAAAATAATCAATTAAGAAAAACTCACTAGCTTTTGAGTTTTGTCAGTTTTTGGTCGAAAATCATTATTTAGGGTTCCGAAATCGCATTTTTTAATCTGTTAGGAGATATCGATATTTTCTTGTGATTTTTGTTGGAGGCTGAAACAAAGTCCAATTGCTCTTAAATTTTAAATTTGGTAGTTTTTGTTGATTATGTGTCGATCTTATTATATTTTTTTAGAGTTTTTAGAGAAACTTTATTTTTAGGTTTGTTTTCGGATTTGCTTTCGGCACACTAAAACTCTATAAACTACAAAAATATATAAAATATTTAATTTGCTATGTATGTGCTGGAACAAACTTTAATCAACTTATAAGTTGTTTACACTATGTTCATAAATCCTATATTTGTAATAATAATTATAATGGGTTGATTTGATTATAATGTATATTAATTGTTATTATGATCCAAAATATGAATTTTGACTGTCTTGATATGAGATTAATATATGTATGTGTTATGAAAACGTGTAAGCAAGTTAATATGTTCAAACACATTGATATGTTGCCATTGTTAGATATGGCTATGATGTTTGGGTATGTATAAGTGTGCTAGCTAATAAGTTTAGTCACATCCACTTTATAACTATGTTAAGATATGGTTGCGAAGATTGATATATGCATGAGATATGGAACCATGTGAGCTGACTAATAAGTTTAGACTCACTTATACCTTGTTGGATTAGTTGTCAAAGACATGATTAGTCTGTGTTGGGGTATGTGGTTCAATGCTTAGGGATTCGTTGCCCAGTGTTAATTATTTATGGTTAATGTTCAGGGATTTGCTACACAACATTATTTGTTTTCGATCAAAGCTCAGGGATTTGTTACCAGTATTATTTATTCATGATTTTATGTTCAGAGATTCATATCCCATATTTCTTGCTTATGATGTTTCGGAATTAATTACCCATTATTTATTAATTATGTAATTTGATATGAGTAAATTCGTTGTCTTGTAATCAGAGTTTAGACTGAGGCATATATTGTCGGAGACACGTCACTAGTATAGGAGATTTTTTTCCCTGGGTAGGACTTTTGGACACTCGACTTCTTTTGATGTGTTTTGAGTGGTCGCCATTTATTCTGGTTGAGGCACCCTATATGTAGTGATTGTTTATAGTGTGTATATGTACATATGGATTATATAACTATTGTATGAGTTTTAGTTAGAGATGGATTGTTTATCGATTTTAAGGGATTTAGTAGAAATGACTTGCTCATAGGTCTAATCTACCATTGTTTATATTTTTTAGGTTCTTAAAGGTTTGGTATCGAGGTTGAGGGTCCACAGCTTGGAGACTTCATCTATCATCTATTTTCCTTTTTATTCAAAGTAGGATATTTATTTATCGATGGTCTTTAGTCATGGTATTATTTATTAAATTATTAGAATATTTGGTTATGATTTTAGGGGTTCTTGATTTATGGGATTCCTGAGTTGTACACCTTTGGAGATTTATTATAATGATGGAGTTTATTGGAGTATTATATATAGTCGGGATTTATTAATTATTGTTTAGTTTTTCTTTCAGTGTAATTATTATTTATTATTATTTATCTATTTGTATTCCGTACTTGCATATTATTAATTGTTTGATATCCCTCGATTTTGGGGAGAAGATCTGATCAACTCACGTTAGGAAATTGGGGGTATCACAGTTTTGGAGGAGCATGTGAAGATGAATTTTAAGCCAATGTGGAGATTGATGGGTTGGTAGCTTAAAATTGTAAAAATTAGTTTCCTTTTATGCTTTGAAAGACTGAAAATTTGTGAGAGAAATTGTCTCATTAGGTTTCTATTTTAGAGTTGAGATTGATTTGGAAACTTTATTCTTGTAAACAAGTGATATAATTCATATCTAATAAGAAATTAGGTTTTGAAAACTCTATAAATAGAGATGGGTTTGGGGAGAAAGAGAGAAATAATTATAGAGATAAAAAAAAGGGTGAATTGAGTTTGTGAGAAGAGAAAGAGTGTGTAATCAAGTTTTGAAGTAAAGATAGTCGTTTTTCGTCCTTGAATGTAGGCAATTTGTCGAATCACATAAATCTTTATTTGCTTGTGTTTACCTTTTATCTATTTTATTTGCCAATAGTACGCGTGTGATTCTAAAAACAAGAGAGGGATGCAAGTTTAGCCGTTCAAGTCACTTTTCTTCTTTTATTTTTTCTGAGCTATATATTATAAATCGTATCCATTCATAATTTGATTGTAACCTCATTTTCTCTCTCACCTTTTGCTCTCCTTTTGATTTATGAATTTTCCCACCTTTTCTCTCTTTTTGATTTATGAATTTTCCCACCTTTTCTCTCTTTGTATCGTCTCATTTTCTCTCCTCTCCCTCTGTATCTTATTTATTTATTTTTATGTGATTTTATTTTTCCTCTTTTTCTTCCAATCCATTCGTATTTTGCATTCTTAAGATTTACATAGTTTTACTTTGTTTGCCTAAAAAAAAAACACCATTCAGGAAAAAAAAATAATAATTAAGATGAAAGTTCAAACTCCAATACATCACAACTAAACCAAAGAAAACGACTGGCTCAAGGCTGTAAAAGGCCTCTTGGTTTAGAGTATCTGTCGGTTCCATGAGAATAAAGAGATTTTAATATGATTTTCGAGACACACTAGTATATCGATAAGGAGTATGAGCATCAAAAGATTGGTTTACAGTCGCGAAACAGCCGATTTGCCGAAACACGAGTATCCCTAAAGTCTAAAAGTTTGGATTATTATTCAGCTCCATCCACCATATCATAGTGATCCCAACATGCTACCACGCCAATAAACCAGTCCAACAAAGTATATTCCACTAAACCAATTGAACAAACTATATGAATTAAAAAACACATGTGATTATATATTAAAAACGTTACTTGTCATTCTGACTTGGTAAACAACATACATAATTACATTATCCCGTGAGACTCAAACAATTCACCTTCTTTTTTGAAGAGAAAATCCAAATGATCAACACCAATTATAACTACAAGATCTGCAAGACAGGTAGCTTTTGCTTTATTTTAATGTCCATGATCATGTTTTGACAATAATCACCATCATCATTTTTGATAGATTATATTGTCTATTGTATATTAGGGTTAGGGGAGTTAACTATCTTTGTCTACTATTATTATATATAACATTATCATATATCTCATTATCATATATAAAGTTTACTTGTTCTCCTCTCTTACATTATTACATCAATACAATATATAGTTTGTCTACCTACTTTTAACAATTTTTTATCTTTTATTTATTTATTTATTTATTTATTTATTTATTTATTTATTTTTTTTTTTCTGAAGATAAGGGTGATTTTATATATTAAAAGGTACAGTAATACAAACGGAGGCAAGCCTCCACTTTGGGCCAAGTCCACGAATGATGGGCTTGCCAAATCACAAAAAACAAATGTGTATACACAAGGCCTAAACCAAAAGACGAAGACGTTTCTAGTCTAATATAGGTGAACTAGAGTATTCATGTCTAGGGCAAAACACAACGCTAAAAGCAATCACGTTCTGGTGAGAACATTTAGGGTAAAAACCCCAAGAGTCGAGATCCGGCGGCTCAAGTGGCGGACGAATGAAAGCCGGCAAATCCCAGTCTAGCATCAGCCTTCTAGCAACGGGGGAGTCTTTAACCTTAATAGATAACAGCTTTTGGCGCACCACATTTCAACGCCCACAAGGTTTCATAATCTCTGAGAACACATCAGCTGAGGACACTTTATCAAACCTATTAGTTGTAAAACTCATCCCACCATCGATCTTGATTCCATCCTTCTCACTCACCTGTAGCTGCAACGCAAACTCCAGGGTCCACACGACTTCATTCATTGACGGCCGTTTGATTCCCTCATCATGCAAACACCTCACCGCTATCTCCGTGAATTTCTTCAAACATTCAGGCTCGATGTTTCCGATCAGATGCGGATCAATGATCTGATCAAGGGTACCGTTCTGATAACATTTGCGGGCCCATAAAACTAAGCTCACTTGATCTATCTCCAGTGCCTTATTCAGTGGTGCTCTACCAGACAATACCTCAAGCAATACCACTCCAAAAGAGTACACGTCAGACTTCTCTGTCAGTTGCTGACGTTGATAGTATTCCGGATCCAAATACCCAAAACTACCCTTCACCGCGGTACTGATGTGGGTGTTGGAGGCGTCGGTGGGGTTAATTTTTGACAATCCGAAATCGGAAACCTTGGCTACCCATTTATCATCCAATAAAATATTGGTCGTCTTCACGTCGCGGTGAATGACCCTGTGTTTTGCACATGCATGGAGGTAATGCAGGCCACGCCCAGCGCCAATGCAGATCTCGAGCCGTTGCTTCCACGGGAGTGGAGGATTGTTAGTGCCGTAGAGATGATCACTCAGAGTCCCATTAGACATGTAGTCATACACAAGAATCATCTCATGTTTCTCGTTGCAATAACCAATTAGAGACACCAGATGGAGATGACGGAGTTGAGAGAGCATCTCGATTTCCGTCTTGAACTCATGAGCCCCTTGTTGGGACCCTTGTTTCAACCGTTTTATCGCAACCGGGGTGGCTCTGCAATTTATATACCCTCTGTACACATCGCCAAAGCCTCCACGTCCAATGATAAAAGCATTGTCAAAGTTATTTGTAGCGGCTTTGATTTCAGCAAAAGTAAAATAACGACAAGAATCTGACGGTAGAAGTGAGCCACCCATTTTGTCATTTTTTGTTGCGAGGTAGGAGATGGAGCCCCAACATGCTGCTCGACGTCCATGGCTGGAACCTGATTCTTTGACTCTCCTCCGTTGCCGGAAAATCAAGAAACCAAGAAGAGAGAGTGTCGCCACACCAGAAAGAACACCGCCTACAACAGCAGCAGCGACTAGTGTAGTTCTTCGCGGTTGTGGAACTGGGACAGGGTTGTGTCTGGCAGGAGTGACGGAGTAGTCACTGAGTTTGAAAACCTCTATTCCATTCAAGATGGCGTCAGGGTAAACAGTCGTTGATTCCGGATTGGGATGCAGAGCTATAGACAAATTCTGTTTCTTCTGATCTCTTCCTTGACTCACCATCATCACTGCATAATTTCTGCAAAACGGGACATGGTTTCTTCCAGCCCAAACAATCACATCGGCTTGAGGCTCGGCCGTCTTATCCGCTATGAATATAGTGAATTCCCTGTCACTTTGCTTTGTGACCTCAACTTGGAACTCACAAAAGTGTAGTCTGACCAGGTAAGTAAAACCCGAATCCACAGGCAAATTCCAAGTGAGATTGTATTTTTTGTTTACAGTTTTGTTGTTTCCCATGGAGCGAGCGCTCATATATACTTCGGCTGGTGCAGTGTAACTGGGTACTTTGGTAAAGAGAACTTCAAAGCTGTTGTTGACTGGAAGAGCCCCTATGTTTGACACATAATCGTCGTCCTTCAACCAGCTTCGGAACATGCCAGTGTCGTTCACGGGTGAAATATCTGATCCACCAACATTCAATCGGTGTACGGTCTCAAGAAAAGTGCTCTTTTCAATACGAATTGGGGTTTGCTCATGGCCGACAAAAGTAATACCATCTTGAGCCTCTGCCGATGTGTAATAAAGATTGGTAGGCATGGAGACAATTTCAATTCCATTGATGAAAGCGTATGCATCCAACGGAATCAAAGACGGAGTGAAGGTGATGTTTAGTGTATGATCTTGATCTCCTACGTTTATGCAGAATTCTTTGACTATAAAGTAGGAGCCGAGAGAAGTAGCTGTTAGAAAGGCACTGAAGTTGCTGAGAAGAGTGAATTGATTGGCTTTGACGGAGAAGAAGGCTTTGGAGGGGTCGAAATTTGGGTATTGAGAAGCGTAGAAGTGCAAGCGGATGAAGTTTTGGCGGGCGGTGACCGGAAATACGTAGCTGAAATCAGACAGAGAGATGTGTGCTGTCGAGTAGGGAACATGAGCACTCACCGATGGGGCTATTGATTTGTTAGGTTTTTGTTCTAAAGGGGAGAGGTAGAGACTGGTCTCTCCAAACCAATATCTGCCGTCCGGCGAGGTGTGTTCCTCGGAGGAGCCGCAGTCAAGGGCAATGTTTACGCTAGGGTTGTAAGTAAATGGTTGCGAGTTACAGGGTATGAGGATGAGTGAACTAGTGAGTAGGAAGATGAGGTAAAGAGGAGAGATAATGATCATCACTAGGTTTTTAAGATAAGAATTTGTGTTGATGATGTTCTTCATTGCAGGGGAGACTTGGGAATTCAAGGAGACGAAAAGATGGAGAGATGATGAATGGAGATAAAGATTTTAGTCGTTGGTTTTACATACGTATTTGATTAGCATAAAAACATGAACTTGACATGCTCACATGAGATTTTTACTTCCTAATTTTTAATTTCTTTTTCAGATTTCAAGCAATTTTCATAGTTAAAGATAAAACTTCCCTTCAAATTTCATACGGAGGAGTATGTATATACTTGTGGTCCTCAGGCACAAAAGAGAAGATACCTTTGTTGGTATTAAAATTAAGGTTTTGTTGATTAAAAATTCAATTAGGAGTGGGCCATTGTAATGAAGACTAGACTTGGGAAAAGTTTCTAGCAAGTGGTTGTTGATTTTCAACAAAAAGAAAAAAGATTAGGAAGACCATACTAGCTAGTCTTTGGCAGCACAGTACAACTTTAGTTTTTGCTTTGCAAGTTTGGACCTCTTTGATCGTCTCTTTTTGGCACACAATAATTTTGATACTAAATCATCGACTGACCACTACCGTGTGACTGTTGCTTCTATGTCTTTAACTAGTAAATTAAAGAAAAACAAAAAATAAGAAAAAAGGGAAATAGTATCTCCTGACCACAATAATTGCAACGCGACTATTAGATAACAAAACATGAAAAGTAGATATAAGTGTGATGAAACGAGTCATGCAGTGGGGTCGAGGCTGAGAAGTAGGAGATGTACGTGTTATTTTGTAAAAATACCTGTTGGCAATTTATATTTTATTTTCCCTACAATAATTGATACTCTTTGGTGACATTATATGATGAATTTAATGTTGTATTGCACGTAAAACTTGATTGATTATGTTAATTTGAAATTTGTGAAGGTGGATTTTGAGAAGGAATAAGTTGATCGAGTATACAACCTTAGGATTTTGATTTTGGGAACTCTTAAATTGAGCCAAGTTTAATTCATCTGTCACATTAAAGTTGGATGATGACTAAAAAAATAAATAATAATAAAGACACAGCAAATAACTACACTAAAATGATGCAACCAAATTAGAAGTAGGTAGCAATGTAGTAGAATTCAATTTAGTTATATTGCTGATCCATGTGGAAACGTTAGTGATATTCACAAATACAACTTGAAGCAGTGTTATCATTGTTGAAAAAAAAAAAAAAAAAGGGAAAAAAGAAAAGAAAAGGGCAGCTTCAGATGAAAATACATAATCAGAAAAGCACAAACAAATTGGATGCAATTCATTTGCAACAATATATGATGATGTGATAGTGAATACTGCTTCAGTGCTTCAAACTAGAGTACCTAATTCATTCACGAAAGCCTTATAGAAAAATGGGGAAAAAAAAAGTAATAATTTGTACATGAAAGTAGGGAGGGAACCAGAAACTTATGAGAGGGAAGGCTATTTTTTAATAAATTTAGTGGAGAGAATAGTGAGAATTTTTTGGTATATATACATCAAAACGAAGAAAATAATAGGGCGTAATGCTAAAAAAAAATTCAATGGGTACACCCTTTGTCCATATCAAATGTACTTTTTAGGGAGTAAAATTTGTTGACAATACATGTAATTATTGCATTGTCCTATTTGAAAATTACTAAGAAACGTTTCAAAATATATATAATAAAATTTGAAAATTTTAGGATATTTTATGAAAAGATGTGAGATGTATTGTTTGAACTTTTAAGTAGACAAATATTTTAAGACAATTCAAAAAAATAAAAAAATAAAAAAAAAATACTACTACTACTACTAAATTGAGACGAAAAAAATAATACTATAGCCTATAAGGTAAGTGCTTCAAATAAAAAGAGGTTTCAAAGGTTAGACAATTCTCTCCCATATCAATAAATTCTCAACATCCACATACGACTGTTAATAATATTAAAAGAGGCAGATGCGTCAAATAATAATAATAATAATAATATGAAAAGAGAAAAAGAAACACTATAAGAAAAATAATTTTTTACCACGTTCTTTCTACCACGATTTTAAAATAACTATGGTAAAAAACACTTTCTACCACGGTTATAAAATAACCGTGGTAGAAAATGTATTATAACCATGATAGAAAGTGTATATTTCACCGTGGTTACCACGATTATTTCAAAACCGTGATAGAAAATGTATATTTTACTACGGTTGTAAAAGCACCGTGGTAGAATGTCAAATTATTTCACCACGATTTTTCATTAACCACGCTAGAAAGTGAGGTTTACTTTTGGCGGGCTAAAATCGCGCCCTTCTTAAAAAAAAATAAAAAAATAAATTATATACAGAAATATATATAGCCTCGCACGTACACAGACCACACGATTAAAATTATGTTTAAGGCAATTCATTTCAGCCTCCCAATTAATCGCCTCATCTCTGCTATTTTCGTTCTCCTCATTTCAGCCTCCCAAATCGCCTCCATCTCTACTCTCGTTCTCTGCTCTGAAGTTGCCCTCTCTCTGTCTCTGCAACTGTAAACTAAAAAATCTACAAGAATCAGAACCCATATCGACACATCATATATTATTGTTCAAAATCAAAACCCACCTTCAGTTTCCAAATCCCGCTGTTCCAGTTCGATTGGGTTCGCCATTCGCAAGCTTCAGCGTCTCTGCCGCTGTCTCTCAACTCTCAAGCCATCTCTTTGCAGCTGCGAACTTGTATGTATGGGTTTTGTTTTATTATTTTTTTTCTAAATCAATTAATCAAGGTCTGTAATTCTTATTTTGCAAACTAAATCCTATTTGGTGAAACAGGATCTCCCTTTGCAGGATTTGAAAGACTAATTGGTAAATTTGGGTTGAATGTGAGTCTTGAACAAGCTGAAGGCCCTTATACTGGTAAGTCATTCTTCAATTATTCAATATAAATATTTTTAGGGCAAATCATTTCAGCCTCCCCAATCGCCTCCATCTCTATTCTCGTTCTCGACTCGGATTTTGGGGAATGTGGTTTGTAATTTGGGGTTTTATTGGTTTGATTAGCCAATCTTTAAGGTTTTTACAGGCGTTTTTATAACTAAATATGCCTTTTTCACTTCTAAGTTAAATTACATATATCAAGGGAATACAACCCGAATTACATATATTGATTAAGCTATAAAAATATTAAAGAAAAAGATTTCAGCCTCTAAATCCCAAATTGGCGGCCTTCCAAATTCACACAATTTCTATTAATGGGATAGTTGTGTTAGTGAGAATCATAAGCTATAAGCTTACTAATGTAGCCAGTTTGGAGACAAAGTTTGTAACTACTTTCATTGCAACTGTTCTATGACCCTGAAAGTCATAAAATGGACAAGCTGAATGTACTTTCCATTACATATACATGTTATATTTTACTGACATGAAAAGATTTTTAAGGAAATTCATGTTGATCTAGTCAATTAAACAATCACTTATACATTTACATGCCCATAGAATCATGACACATGGTTTTACCCCAGATTATGCTAAGAAATCATACACATAAAATCTTAGTTTTGGTCGCATGGAAATGAAAACGAGTTTGGGGAATGCGGTTGTTCCTCTATATGTAATTGGTGTAGCATTGAAAACAACTCTATTAATCACTTAAAATAGATATTTGACTAGCTCTACTTTAAATAAATGGATGAAGAAACTTGTTTTCTTTATCAAGTTCATCAAATTCGTAGGTGGATGATCAAACTTTCTAGATAAATAGATTAGGTAAAACACACAGTTTGATTAGCCAATCTTTAAAGTTTTATATAGGCCTGAAATTTGTGGCTTTGATTTGAAAGACGCATATGTTACAGGATTTTCAATTGCATGGCCTATCAAGTACATCAAAATTTGTAAGTGACATTTCTTTTATGATTACACATTTTTAATGCCTTTTATACTCATGTTCAGGGGGGTCACGTGCCTTTAAGTGACCAATTTTGCGGTGTATAGGGGGTCACGTGCCTTAAGTGACCATTTTCATATTTAATAGATAAAATTCAGGAGAAAAACATGAAGATAGCACAAGCGTAGTACAAAAAATTAACTTAATCCCAAATCGTTGTGAAAAGGCTAGTTGACTTATATTTTTCTATGTACCTCTGTTCAAGTCTCTCCAGTCTTTGTTGTTTCAAAGCCTAGAATAACTTATTTTTGTCATCCCATTATTGTAGGTGTGTGTACTGTGTGTAACTCAGATTTATATAAGCTAGACTTATCAAAGGTAGGTGTGTGTACTGTGTGCAACTCAGATTTATGGAAAGCTTGATAATAAGGAGAGAGGTTTTAAAAGCAGGGACCATTTGGTGGGTAGCTAATGAGAAAAGAGTAACTATTGTCAGGACAATTAGGTTCCATGTTAATGGATTCTTTAAAATCTTCTGCAACTCTACTCCCAAAAAGGTGACTTAATTGATATTTTGATAGACAGAAATTCAGTGTAGTGGAAATTGGTGGTTCAATCCATCAAATCAATTAATTTAAGTGAGCCACTTCGATTAGATAGATAGCTTGAGCACTCAATAAATGTGAGTACTATTGTTTAAAAGACTGATCAGAAATTCTCTTTTTTGCTTGATAATACGACTATGATTTTTTATTTTTTTATTTTGGAGCAAGTGTTTTAAGCTAGCTGCTAATTAATCTTGAAGCTTACCTTCTTCCATTTTCCTTAAATGTATGTCATATCAGTAACAAATGTTTCCTAAAGAGGAGAAAGCATTAAGGAAATGAGGTCACCACAGTTGCATGAACATAAAAATATATAATAGAATCTGCTTAGATATATTTTCAATCAAACTCAAATATTTTTTGGATAAAACTTTAAAATCCTAGGACGGTGACCGCATAGAGATATATTTCAGCAACCACAACATTTCAGTATAATACATCCTAGCACCTACAGGAGAAAATTGCTCGTGTTTGAAAGTGTTTTTAAATATATAGTTATTTTTATAAATAATTTTAATATATTATGTCCCTAGTTTATATCAAAGTTGCCCAGTGAAAGTTTAGTTGGTAGATGGAGACTAAAAGTATATATATTTTTTTGGCACAAGAAATCATCTAGGGTTCAAGTCACGCAAGAAAGCTGAATTTTCACTCTTCATCAAGACATGATCAAAACGATTCACCGGTCGGATCACATGAGACTCTCGGGTTGCTCAAAAACTTACAAGATCTCGTGTAAGAAGGAAGAATCTGAAGCAAGATTCTTACAAAATAAAAGTGGGACTAGCATTATAGATTAGTCCAGAATGAAAGAACAAAGGTGATAATAATATAAAATCAGTAGTTAAATGCATCAAACACCTCTGTCAGTTGCATGTTTCATATTTACAACGTCGACAATATTTAGGTTTTCCTTAATGACATTTCATCTTTAATTATCAAATCATAGTAATCAAATTATCATTTTTAATTTGGTATATAAGTATCTATCTACCTTATTGAATTTGCACAATCCTCCTATGTTTTGACAGAGAAGTGCCCATTTTATGTGCATTAGTGTTACACAGTAGGAATATTCTCACACTAATACACTAATCGTTTAGGTTCACAATAAGCATAGATTTTTTTTTTTTTTGAGTGTTTCAGTTTTGATGTAGAGCGAACCCCCTATATATATAGATAGATATATAATATAAGTGAGAAGTAATCAAAGCAATTTCTTTCAGTTCGATAAACAAACACAATAAGAAGCTATAAGTAAAGAAGCTAGCTAGGCAACCACAAAGTTTATAATTAGATTGTTGATTAACTTTAAGATTTAATTGGTTGTTTTTGCTGTTTTGTCTTAGTTTATAACATGTATTTGTCTTTGAAGTTCTTAATTAAGATCTTGTTGTGGTTGATGTAGGACAACTGCAGTGGTTTGATCATTATTTTACTGAATTACTTAATCTTCTTTCTCTTATTGTATGGTTTGCTCAAAACTGTCCTTATGTTATATAGGTCGAACTTATTGAATGAGCATTATAGAAGCCTATAATTCCAGCATCTGATTAAGTACAGTAGAGAATTCTCTATAGTATTTACTGATCTCTCTTCACTAAGAAGTTGCCATTTTTTTTTAGTAGGAAATTTGCAACAACCACCTACATAACTCATCTGAGATATGTAGAGCTCAAAGGGACTATCAGTCCCTATAAGTTTGAGAGTAGGAAATTTGCAAAAAGAGGGGATAGAGATTCAATGTTAGCTAAGCATAACCAAATTTTGTGGTTTTTGTAAGGAAAACTTGTTGAAGCTCTAACAGGTTACATTTCGCATAATCATATCATGTTTAATGATCAATTAAAAGATCAGCAAAAAAAATATTGCTTGTTCAGGACAAATATGATTGGTGAATTGAACTAAAGCATCTCTCCACATTTCAATTAGTCAAAAATCATTCAAGATTTATGAATAAGTGAGGAATCAAATGAGAATACAAGACAACTCTTCAACTTCTAAAGTGGCTGCGACAAACATAATTTGTGAAGCTAGTATGGCTTCGAGCTAAGTTTGAACTGATCATTACTTCGTCCAAAAATCATATGTTTGTTGGAATGAGCTACTCCATTAGTGTAAACATGTGCCAAAAGTTATTCATTTGGAGGAGGATCTCATAACTTATACACTTTATAAAATTAATTAATAAGAATTAGATATGAGCTGACTTGCATTGGATGTTGAGGTAATTATCTTTTTGTGATTTTGCATGCTTTATCAAATATTGTACGAGGACAATTTCATACTAAACTTTCGTAATTTGGACTTGATTCAAAAGTACTTGTACATGTTAATACTTGCTTTGGGATTATTTCCTTGATACACTAAACTTGCTTTGCTTGAGTTAAAACCATATTAATACTTGCTTTGCTTGAGTTAAGACAAAGAGGAGATCTTTCAAAATACCTTTATTATAATGCTTTACATTAATTCTCTTACTTCAACTATCTTTGTAGGTCAAAGCTAGGATTGTGGGTTGCGGGTTGCAGTTCCTTTTTTTGTTGCCGCTATATTTTTTGTATGGTTCGAAGAAGAAGTTGCAAGAAAGATATGAAGAATTTTTGTTTTATTTTGGTGCAAGTAAATATATAAGGTGTGGATCATGTACTTTTTTCAAATTTGTATATGGTTAATTTTTGTAAAAAACAATAATTTGGAATTGGTTATATATATATATGTATGAGTTATAAATTATTTTGGTTATGGTGCTATTTTTTTATTTATTTAGGGTTCTATAAGATTAGTAGTAGTTAAAATAAAAATAAAATAGCCTTCATAAGGGTTAAACTATTATTTAAAAAAAAAAAAATTATATAACACTTTCTACCACGGTTATGTATCGTGGTAAAAAGTCTATTTTTCTAGTGCGAATAGACTTTTTACCACGGTATAAAACCGTGGTAGAAAGATCGACTTTCTAGCACAGTGCAACACCGTGGTAGAAGGTCGACCTTCTACCACGGTGCAACACCGTGGTAGAAAGTCAACCTTTCTAGCACGGTGCAAAACCGTGGTAGAAGGTCGATCTTTCTATCACGGTGCAAAACCATGGTAGTAAGTCGAGACTTTCTACCACGGCTGAACCGTGGTAGAAAGGCTTTTCCACCGTGGTAAAAAGTTTTTTTTCTTGTACTGAAATTGCTTGCTATTAATTGAGTGCACCCACTTGTAATTATATTTATCAATTATTATTATTATTATTTTGACAAAAACACTCACACACACCACTTAGACATCTACTTGCTCATTTGGAGACTTAAATTCTCACCATTTACTTTACAAGGTAAAGGAGATAATTATATATATATATACCTTCTTTTAAAAAGTAGAGGCTTGATATCACTACTGGGCCTTTGGTAAGAGATAATTATATTTACCAACTAAGATTACAATAAAGATATACAATAAAGTCAAATAAATTAAGATCCCTAATTAACTATGATCAACTAATTATCGGGCCGAGATTATAAGGATAAAATAAAACGTGAATTCCAACAACTCACAAGTTGAAGCAAAGATATTAATCAAACTTGTTAGTTAAGACTGAAATTGATATGCATTTACTAGCCCCGTGTGATGGGACGAAAGAGTTTATTTATTTGCTTTTGGGAATAATAAATCTGACTCTTCAACTTACACTAAAAATTTTGAGTGTCTAAACTACAACTCTATGTAACTAACAACGTTTGGTAATATTGCTCAAACTTCCAACACCTTGTAAGGGCACAAAAGCCCAAGAGAAATTTTCTTGATATTTCAATTAACAAAAAAAAAAAAAAAAAAAAAAAAAAAACGTAAAACTTTTGTTAAAATTGGAGTCTTAAAATATAAATTAGTGAAATTAGAAAAAAAAAATTCATAAAATTAAATTAATTATTATTATTATTTTTTAATTTCACAATTTCAAAACTCCTAATACATACAACCGGATACAACCTAAAAATAAATAATACAAAACAAATATATGCGGTGAAGAGTGAGCCCACATTCTTATTGTTCGCTGGTAACTAGAAATGATATTACAATTTCTGTGCACATTCTTATTTGCTTCCTTTAAGGTACTAAACTTCATTGAATATATATATATATATATATATATATATATATTATACAGTATATCAATTATTGAATAAATTTAAAATTACAAATTACAAATTTTTTACTTCTATTTATATGGTCATATTACATGGTAGGAACTCTTAATTGAAAGCATGGGGAGAGAACATAATAAAATAAATCTTACAAATTAAAACTAGATGCTCTAACTAGTAATTTCACTGCAAGTGGATTCCGTCATGGTCAACCAGCTGCTTGAATCCGATATGTTTCCAATCTTGTGTTGAAGACATGGATCCGCTGCATTTAAAGGTAATGACACCTCTGGCTCTTGATAGATATTCTCCATGCTGAAGTGGAGCCCAGCCCCAGCAGGACTAAGTTCCTTCATATCTTGCATCGCGGCTACCGCAGTTTCCTGCAATTGCAATGCAAACTCAAGTCTTCCCACCACATCACTCATCGATGGTCTTCCCATTCCAACATCAATCACGCAATTCTTGATAACCTCTACGAACTTCCTCAAACACTCGGGTGCTATCTTTCCCACCAGATACGGGTCAATGATTTGATCAAGAGTTCTTTCTTTAATGCAATGCTTGACCCCGTTTGCCAGATTCACTTCATCATCGTCCAAGCTACGATCTACCTGTTAGGAAATGTGCCAGTTTAAAAAAAATTTGTAGTGGTTTTTATTCACAGATCTTGATTCATCACATAGAGACAAGTTTTATGTAAAAATAAAATACGATGTATCATTCAATTAACAGATTGAATATTTATATTAAAGGTCTGAGTAAACCTTTAAATTTTTCCTCTAAAGTGAATGTTCTCATTTATTGTAGATCCTTTAACAAGATCGCATTCTCTTTAGATCTCCATTTTCTTGGTAATTATTTTGCTTTTAAGAATCACTCATAAGTCTCCATAAATGACCTTGGAAAACTAGGCTTGTAGGAGTCTCAATTAGATGAGAATATTAACCCTAATTTTCTAGAAAGAGAAAATAGATTCATTTTTCCTTCTTCCAAAAATCATCCCTAAAATATACATGGACCATGTATATATATAGGCAACATTAAAGATAAAGAAAAGGAAACAATAAATCATTCTCAATCTCTAATTCACATGTCTCAAATCTAATAGGATTTCAATATCAAGTTGGGTTATGAGTGAGAATCCTTTGGGCTTATTATTTTACTAGCTACAATGAATTAATAATTGGCCCGGTTCATGGACTCAATTCAATTAATTCATAAATTAATTTTTACTCCACTAAAAGAAATTAATTTAATTCTAATTAAATAATAAATAACCTCTAAGTCAATATTGCACTTTAACCCCTCTATGTATAATTAGTTATCGGATAAATAAAACCATCAATCCGACAACTTAATTAATATATTAATTTTGCTACCATTGATTATTTCTGGTTTGATCACAATAAAACATTTGTTTGACAAAAATAATAATTTAAATAAATAAATATATAATAAATCATTTTATCTAAAAACACACGAAGGCCTTCGAATTTACTTTGTGATCAAGCATAATCAATACAAAATAAATACAAGTAGCAATGATGCAAATATTGAAAATATAACCCTCTAACTATTAATTACATAACTATCCAAAGTGTCGGTCTAAGGATCCCGAAGTATCCGCCGAACAAATCAAAATAATTATTAATTAATAAAAGAGTTTATACTTTTCTCATACTTAAGAGTCAAATGCCATGACAGTGATAAGGAGCAATTGCATACGATGACTCTCGCAATATATCTCAATTTAACGCGGATCCAATTCAAGTCTTAATTAATTATAAGTCCATCCATAATTACCGACTATGAACAATTTATGATTACTATTTATATTCATGTATTGATTGCCATCACATACATATATAAATATCTCTTGTAATCAAGTGGATACTATCAATTCTATAATGAATCGAAACATAATACATTGAATTCACTAATTGTATCAAGTATAAATATTTCAAAAACGTTAGGAACATATGTTACTATAATCCAAATAAGAATTTACTATGCCAGGGCATATAAATCCCAACATTACCACTTTTCTGGCACACAGTACTTCACACATAACAACACCAAATGAATATACATCAGATTTTTCACTCAATTGCCGACATCTTGCGTATTCCGGATCCAAATACCCCTAAGTGCCCTTTACCATAGTAGAGACTGCAACGTTTTGCGTACCTGTGGGGCTCAGTTTGGATAACCCGAAATCCGAAATCTTAGCTACCCATTTATGGTCCAACAGAATATTAGTGGACTTGATGTCACGGTGGATCACCGTGTGCTTCGTACCTGCATGAAGGTAGTGCAGCCCTTTTGCTGCACTTATGCAAATTCGAAGCCTCTGATTCCAAGAGAGAGGAAAATGATCATGATCCTTCTTGTTGTAGAGATGGTCACAGAGGTGTAAACTATAATTATTCATGCAAATCATTAATCACAATATTTACATGAATTCTAAGATCTTAGAACTTCATGATTTTCACATATCTATAATGAATAAATAAATGGTTAGATATAAATATGTCGATTTATGATATCAAACCTTGTTGAGATTAAATCCAATGTCTAGATCCTTTAACTACGAACTAATTTACAACTCTGATCAACAGGCAAAGGTGGAAACTGGTTTCTCTCTCTTGGCCTTTTGCACATATAAAATTTTTACGTGTTGTATCATTAATTGTACATAATTGATGGAGTATATGCACTTTTAATGATTATCATCCTCTCTTTCCACTTCTTTTCAGAGGAAGGGAGGTTTGTACATATCTTCTGGTGCAAAGGAGAAGTAAAATAAAAGCGGCCAGGTTCGGTTCTGTGCTTGGAAAGAGCATAAGGAATCAGCAAATCAGCAAGAGTCAAATCAAGACTCTCCAGCCTTCGGCGAATTAGGAGTGCCGAGATTATTCGAAAGAAGTTAGGGTTTACTTGTAGGGGTGTAATCCCCAATTTGTTAAAAACTAGATAATAAAAAGGGTGAAGGGGGAATCGAAGGGCATTGAGATGCCCAACAGAAAGGAGCAACTCGTCATCGCTGACGCCCTCGCCGGCACAAAAATCGAAGCCCTTGGGGTATTCTACAATTTCTACATCCTTGGGAATCTCAAAATCCTCCATTGTGGATTCAATGGAGAACTTAATACGACGAATAGATAAGATTGCATTTTCTCTTCCTTAGTAAAAATGCTATCCGACCCAGAGGCGGACGTCTCAGCCGAAAGTGAGGAAACATCCGGCTGATTGGCCAAGTCATCTGCAGATCTAGGGAAGCCAGAAACCCTAGGAGGAGGAACCCTAATGAGGTTGGGGGAAGACGAAGGTGTGGATTCTGAATCCACGATTTCTACATGTTCAGGAGAGGTCGAAGTATTCATAATGCAAGATTGAAGGAAGAAGTTTAAGGACTAACCTGGAGATACGAGAATGTGAAGAACGCAATGAACGAAACAAGCGCGGAAGCAAGTCTTGAAGAAGTCCTTGAGTCGGAATAACGATAGACACAAATGGAAACGCCTCGTGCGAAAGTGGCAACTATACAACTTCAATTCCCTTTTAATTAGGAGCCGTATTCCAATTAAAGAGGAATTGGGG